ATAAGACACTGATGAAAGAAATTAAAGAATGACACAAACAGATGGAAAGATACACCATGTTCTTGGATGGGAAGAGTAAATATTATTAAAATGACCATACTACCCAAGGCAATATACATATTCAATGCAATCCCTATCAAATCACCAATGACATTTTTCACAGAGATAGAACAATAAATTTTAAAAATTTGTATGAAAATTCAAAAGACCCTGAATAGCCAAAACAATCTTGAGGGAAAAAAGAACAGAGCTGGGGGAATCATGCTCCCTGATTTCAGACTATACTACAAAGCTACAGTAATCAAACCAGTATGGTACTGGCACAAAAACAGACACATAGGCCAATGGACCAGGATAGAAAGTCCAGAAATAAATCCATGCACTTATGGTCAATTAATCTACAACAAAGGAGGCAAGAATATACAATAGAGAAAAGATAGTCTCTTCAATAAGTGGTGCTGGTTAAACTGGAGAGCTACCTGTAAAAGACTGAAATTAGAACATTCTCTAACACTGTATACAAAAATAAACTCAAAATGGATTAAAGATATAAATGTAAGACCAGATACTATAAAACTCCTAGAGGAAAACAGAGGCAGAACAGTCTGACATAAATTGCTGCAATATTTTTTTCAAACCAGCTCCTAGCAAAATGGAAATAAAAGCAAAAATAAACAAATGGGACCTAATTAAACTTAAGAGCTTTTGCACAGCTAAGGATATATCAACAAAACGAAAAGACAACATACTGAATGGAAGAAAAACATTTGCAAATGATGAGACTGACAAGGAATTATTTCCAAAATATAAAAACAGCTCATGCAGCTTAATATTAAAAAAAAAGAGCAACCCAGTCAAAAGATTGGCAGAAGACCTAGATAGGCATTTCTCCAAAGAAGACATCCAGATGGCCAACAGGCGCATGAAAAGATGCTCAATTTTGCTAGTTATCAGAGAAATGCAAATCAAAACTAAAATGAGGTATCACTTCATACGAGTCAGAATGGCCATCATGAACAACTCTACAAATATTGAATGCTGGAGAGGTTGCAGAGAAACAGGAACCCTCGTACACTGTTGGTGAGAATCTAATTTCATACAGCCACTATGGAGAACACGATGGAGATTCCTTGAAAAACTAGACTTAACATATGATCCAACAACCCCACTCCCGGAGAAAACTAATTTGAAAAGATCCATGCATCCCAGTGTTCACAGCAGCACTATTTACAATAGCCAAGACATGGAAACAACTTAAATGTCCATTGACAGATGAATGGATAAAGAAGATGTGGTGTATATACACAATGGAATATTACTCAGCCATCAAAAGAATGAAATAATGCCATTTGCAGCAAAATGGATGAACCTAGAGATTACCATACTAAGTGAAGTAAGTCAGACAGAGAAAGACAAATATAATACCATCTTGCTTATATGTGGAATCTAAAACAAAAAAGATACAAATTTTATTTACAAACCCAGAAATAGAATCACAGACAGAAAATAAACTGGTTACTGGGGGGAAAGGGGGTGAGGGAGGGATAGACTAGGAGTTTGCAATGAACAGATATACATTATTATATATAAAATAGACAAACAAGGACCTGCTATATAGCACAGGGAGCTATATTCAATTTCTTGTGATGAGCCATAATGGAAAAGAAACTGAAAAAAAAATGTATGCATCTATATGTATGACTGAATTGCTTTGCTGTATACCCAAAACTGACATTGTAAATCGACTACACTTCAATAAAAAAATAAGAATTAAAAAAAAAACCCAAAAGTTGGGAAATATGAGAGAAAAGTTGAGGTATGGAACATAGATCCAGGAAATTCAAGTTCCACACACAATTTTCTTGATTATCAGACTTCTTGTCAGCAGCCCTGTATGGCAGAAGACAACAGAGTACCAAATTCAGATTCTGAGGGAAATGATTTTCATCCTGAAGGCTTATACCCAGCTGAATGGTAGGTAAGTGGGAGGGGCATAAAACAGACATAGAATCAGAAAGCGTAGAGCCCATAAATCCCTTTTTTTTTTTAAGAAAAAAACCAAACTTCAAGAAAAGGAAAAAAGGAATGCAAGAAAGAGGACATCATGAGTTATAAGAGCAGTGAAACATGAAAATTTCAGAAATAAAGGTATATTGTTTATAAAATTCATGCTAATCACTAGGGGAACTAAAACCACATATTGTTGACAACATTGCCTCTGATAATTGGAAGTGGGTGGGAAGAACTTTTACTTTGTATTTTATACTCCTTTTTATTATCTGCATTTATTTTTGATTTAGATTAAATTATTTGTAATAAAAATTAACTAAAACTTTGAAAAGGCACCCCCGCCCCCACAACATAGCAGTACTTATTTGCTACAAGTGTGGTCAAATTCCTTCTTAAGACATTTAGTAAGAGAAAGTAGTTCATTTAGTTTCGGATAATTTTGGAACGATTCTAGGCTGCTACTGTTAAGACAGGTTTACAAATAAAACATTTCAGAAAAATGTTTTATCAATCCAGCACACATACAAAAATGATAAAATGAAGACATAAAAAACCAACTTTCATTTCATCACAATAACCTGAAAGTGGATTTTGCAAATTATAACAAAGAATACACTTTCTCTGTTTCAATAAGTCGTCGTCTACCGGTCCAAAGCAGAACTGTCCAGTGTGGCAGCCACCAGCCACTTATGGCTTTTGAGACTTGACATGTGCCTAATTTGAAATGAGATGTGCCGTAAGGGTAAAACACACATCAGATTTCAAATGCTTAGTATGAAAAAACTATAAATATTTCATATGTAATTTTAAAAATATTAATTATATGTTGAAGTGGTATTTTTAGATGCACCAAGTTAAATAATTTTTATTATTAGAATTAGTTTTATTCTTTATTTTAGATTTTTAAAATGTGGCTATTAGAAAATTTAAAATCCCATATGTGGCTCTCATTTGTGGCTTGCATTATATTTCTACTGGGCAGCCCTGGTCTAAAGCACCACAATACAGCACACGCTCATTACTATTCAAATGGATTTTCTATAGATGTTTTTTTAAATTGAAGTTGATGTTATTATTTTTCTCTTTCTTTTTTTTCTTCTATAGAGTTTTGAAAGAGAAAACTAACACTTTGGCTTTCGCTTACCAGGAAACCCTACCTGGCTATGAAGAAAGAATCACTTGCTAACATTATTAGCCCAGGGCAGAAAGAGGACAGGAGGTTGGGAGAGTAGGGAACATGAGTGAATTCAGGGAGAAAGAAATGCCAGTTCTGATATAGAAAAGGCTTGTTGGTTGAATGGCTTCCGGTACAGTGTTTGCCTCTAATGCTTGTACTCTTCTAACACCATAAACTATTCTTTCATGATCACACTGTCTTAATACTTTCTTTATGTAATGCCATTCTAGCTGGGAACATTCCACCTACAGCTCTTCTTTAGAACTTCCCTACATCTGACATTTTTTTTCCCTACGTGGATGTGGGAATTACTGCGTATTGTAATCCTGTTCTGAGTCCTCTACAGTAGTTCAAGTGTGGGGAATACACTTCAGAGCAGAGGTTACCTCAACCCCAGCAGTTACCTTTCAAACAATATTCATCGTCATGTCACCTGAGCTCTGACCCATCTGAAGAAGTTATTTTTCACCGGTAGAGAGAATTTACAAACTTTCCTGTTAAAGTTGGGATGATTAGCTTATTTCCTGAGAAATGTTACGGTTACCTTTCTATTCTCTGCTTTATCACTAATATTATTTGTCACTTGTGCTTTTTCATTCTGTCATGAAGTATGAAAGACAATCAGAGAATTTATCAACAGAGTAGCTCTGTGGAAGGTGAAAGAAACAACGAAATCTTTACCATCATCAAAAGAGATGGTAGAAGGAAGAGAAATGGGGGATGCTGAAAAATCCCTCAGAACCAATAGAAAGTGGGGGTCCTTTTAGCCACTAACAGTATTAAAAGATGACATGAGGAAAAGATTGTGAGAGCTTTGACTTCTACATTCTACCAACCCTGCATAACGTCACTGTCGGGATCAAACACTTTAATAATCACATTAGGGATGGACAACTTAGCATCTGGGCCAGTGATTAGAAAATATTAGTTCTTTCCTCAATGTTTGTTGAGTGAGTGAGGGAATCCATAACCCGTGGTTCTGTTTATACTTCTGTTTTCAAGTCTCATCACTTATTAGCATAAGATATTGGGGCTTCATTACTGATATAACTGGCTACTCTATGGAGACAGTAATTTGTTCTTGCTGCTATAATTGATTTCCCTTTTCCCACGCCGAGAATGCAGCCAGATCTTGCATTTCTTTGCCTGCCTGCCTTCCTTTTGCACTGCAGCAGGAAGCAGCAATTACCAGTTAAGAGAAGGTTCCTTCTCAGGCTTTTGTTTGCAATAACCAGGTTGGCTCAGTGAGAATTACGTGGAGTGAGAGTGATAGAGGTAAGTGCTTGGACTTTAACAGGTAGACGCTGTAGGATCCAAGTGGGGAGAAATGTTGCTGAGATTAAGAGATGGAGTGGGGTTCTGGGGCACTTTCTGTCCCATCAGGTACAGTCTGGGACCTCCAGCAGTACCTGAGGAGGTGAAGAACCCTACCAATGAATGAGATTGAATCTCTTACCAGCTGGATGGTCGGAGGCTCAGCACAGAATAAAATTGTTTAGAATAATTTTCAGGCTTAGTACAGTGGAACCATTCATGAACGTGCTTGCTTGGGCAGTGACCAATCCACAGCACGAAATGAAAAAAATCTGTTTAAGGAGCATGAGCACTGTAAGTGACTTCTGTGTTCATCTGGTCCAGACCCTTCATTTGTAGATTATGAAACCAACATTTAAGATTTAAAAGAACTTATTCCAAGTTGTTGGTCTAAGGCCTGGGCAGAGTTGAAACCGTGGGTCCATCGTCCTTCAGGGCGTTTTTCTTCTAACCTCACCATTTGAGAATTTCAGATCTATTTGTAGCACTTAAAATACATTATTATTTCATCATGATCGTTAATAGTCCTTATCAAAGTAAAATCTCTTACTTTTGAAACGAAGTAGGGAAATCAAACCTATAAAAATATCCAGCTTTAACAGTGGTGGTTTAAAAAAAGAATCATGGCTATGCGGATTTTCTAGTTATTTCTCATTATACAAATTGAGGGGGAAATGACCTGAGCTACTTTATCAACAGCCGAAGTAGTTCTTACTACAGCTTCTGAGAATGAAATACCTCTTCCTAAGGCATTTTCCATGTAGGTATGTGTACACAAGCGTGTGAATAGACAGAAACACACAGACACCTGTTAGCTATCAAACACTGGAGTGGTCATGTTTGCATTAAACCTACTTCAGAGCTGAAAAAACGATTTATTTATACCTTCTGATTGGGTCCCATTTCTTAAGAATCATCTTACATAATACTCCTGGTCTAATTTCCTCCTTTATCCAGTCTTCTTTAATCTGTGTCTTCGTCACCCCCTTGTAACTTTTTGCTCCTTGCAGGCAAAAGGCTGATTGGAGTTTGCATGCTTATTTTTATCATAAGAAGACTGTGCCAGACTGTATAGCTATCCTTTGCAGAAGAGCCTCCTTCCAGGCAAGTGAGAAGCCTGCACTGTGGTGAGTTCAACGATGAGGAGACCTAAGTAAGTAGCCTGGGTGTGCACTCATCAGTCGGTCCGGCAGCGGTCCCTGGGTCACTGTGAGTTTGGACCCTGCCCTAGGCGGCTCAGAAGGCGAGGTGAGGCCCACGGAGTGAAAGCTGTCCGTTGCATGCTGTGTCACTGAGAGACGCTGCTCACCGGAGGCTGGCCTGGTGTGCCTGCCCTTACTCAGCCATCTGTTCAGATGTTCCCATAGGAGTCTCTCTGCCAGCAGGGCCCGTGGCGGATGAGGATAAACAGCAGCACCATTAGAGTCCCAGACACCAGGCAAAAGACAACGGCTAGGATGATCCTTAGAACTGCGGGAAGATCGGAAGAGCATTATTGTCAAATAACAGATTGGGGAAAACGTGGAGATCAGGGAATGAATGGATTATGCAAATATAAAGATCACACATCAGTGTTGATTTCCTGCCTTAATTTTAAGTTTCAGTGAAGTAGCCATGAAATCAGCATAGTGTGGTGAAAAGAGTGCTGGGCTCGGAGTCAGGGGATGACTTAGATTCCAGTTCCAGCATGACCTCGGACCTTTGACCTTTTGTCCTCAGCTCCTCCACTGTAAAGGGACGGCTGAAGGATTTCTAGGGTCCTCTTCTAGCATCAACTTCGTGCATTTTTCTACAGTTACAATGGTCAATTATTCATGGCGTCAGGGACAAAGGGAATTCTGAATGCTCAACTGTCATCATTAATTGGGTCTAAAGAAATGGGATATCAACTTTCAGTCTTTGAATTTGATTTTCAGTAATTATCTTTTAGAGAGCACATATTGACTATGACAAGCATTTTTTAGAATAATTGTGTACTATTGCTATCCTGTACCTTTTTTTATACTGATCAGTCATGGAGCAGATATATGGAGTTGTTTTTTTATGAGATGCTGTTCATTATCTCACCTGGAAAGTTACCCCCCTCACCATACATACACCCTAGTCCACAACAGAACATACATCAAAAATATCAGTTTGCACCATCTCTAAATGTTATGTCTGATTTTCACTGTAAAAATATGGGATTGCTTGCTAGCTTAGGCAGTGGGAGAGCAAACATCTCTCTGATCCTGGTAGCAGAGCCCTGCTGCTCCATGGAACACAGCCTGACCTTATTATTGTAGAGATGAGAAAAACAAGAGGTAGAGAGAGTAGATGAATTGGCTAAGGTTAGGCCGATAATTGCATTTGGGTTGGAATACATGGGGTCTTATCCGTCTCATAATTTTAAAACCATCTATTCACGAATGACTTCCAAATTTAAATCTTTCCCAACTCAAGGCTCATATAGCCAACTGTGTACTCAACATACTCCCTTGGACACCTAATAGGCATTTCAATCTCAACAAATCCAAAACTGAGCTCCCAGTCCCCTTGCCCCCTGCCTCCCCCACCAAATCTGTTCTTCCCACAGCCTCTCCCATCTCAATTCATTGAAACTTCCTTCTTCTAGTGTCTCCGCTCCACTCGTGGAGTCCCCCTTGACACCTCTCTTTCTCTCACATCCTGTACCTACTCTGAAGTCCTATTGGTTCTACCAAAACTGTATCCAGAAACCAGTGATTTCTTCCCTTCTCAGCCACCACCCTGTTTTGAACCATCATCATCATTTGCTGGGATCAGCACAACATGCTCCTGATTTGCTCTTAGCTTCTATCCTTTCTCCGCTACAACTTGCTTTCAACACAGCAGCCACTAGGCTTCAAGTCAAATCACACCACTCCTATGCTAAAAACAAAGTCTTCAATGAACGCTCACCTCACTCAGAATGAAAGCCGAAGTTCTGATCATAACCAGGTCACGGGGCTCTCCATTATCTTATTAACCTCTTGGGTTTCTTTTCTGCACACTCTGCCTTCACTTAACTCTCTTTTGGCCACACAGACTTTCTTGTTCCTCAAACGTGCCAGGCACACCCCCTTCACTGCCGCTGCCTAGAAGCTCTTCTCACAAATCTCGGCACCAGGTAAACCCATCACCTTCCCTGCTCAGCTCTTATCTTCTCAACAAGGACTTTCTATGTAAGAGGGCAACCTTCCCACATTTGCAGATACTAACTACTATATATAAAATAGATAAACAAGAAGTTCATGCTGTAGAGCACAGGGAACTCTATTCAACATCTTGTAGTAACCTATAATGAAGAAGAATATGAAAATGAATATATGTATGACTGAAATGTTATTAGGTCCACCAGAAATTGACACAACATTGAAAACTGACTATATATCAATCAAAAATAAATTTTAAAAAAAGTGCCCCCTGTATGCCCTCTCCCCATCCCCATCCCCACTTGGCACTTGTGACTCTCACCTTCCAAAGTACTTATTTATTATGTTTATTATTCATTGTCCATCTCTCCTTCCCTCTAACAGAACGTATGCTTCACGAGAGCAGGAGCCTTTGTCTTTTCTGTTCATGAATGTATCCCAAGCATTCAGAACAGTACTTGGCACATATCAGGAGCTCAATAAGTATTTGTGAAAAGAATGAATGATCTAAAACTCATAGGTCCTCAGCTCTTAGTTCTGTGCTTTTCTCATGCTGTCGGGTTTCCTCTTAGCATCATGAGAAGGTGAATATTAGTAAAATTAGGAGCTGGTGGACTGGTGCCATTACCGTTGTAGATGGAGTTAATGTAAAGTTGGAGGGAACTGAACAGAATTGAGGGAGAAAGGAAAGAACTAAACGGAAATGAGGGAAGAAGGAAGAGACTAACGGTGCTTTAAAATTAATGTCCATGGCTGACTTGGAAATTTATTTTCAGTTTATCTTTTTGGCCATGTTGTCATACCCTTTCCCAACATTTTTGTTTCCTTTATTCCTTCCTAGACATGTAGCGAGCACGCACGATATGCCAGATTAGCTGTGTGCTGGGTTCTGGGGTTCCGTGTTCCCTGGTCTTGAGGAGGTCACCATCTAATGGGAGAGCTGGATAGCTAATTACGAGATGATGTGATAAATAGTAAAACAGAGGTGCAAAAGATGTGCTGTTGGAACAGAGAGAGAGCTGCAATCAACACAAAGTGGTCTATTTGGAAGAGAACGAGTTTGGAAAGGCTTCTGAGAAAATGATAAGATTTGAGCTGGACTTATAGGTAAATAAGACTTTGCCACAACACAGAGTGAGTTGCACAAGGGTATCTTTGGGAAATAATGAGCAGTAGCATATTGTTGGAGTATAGGTTGTGGCGAGGTGAGATCAGACATGTAGGTTGAGGCTCAGGTTTTAGAAGGTCTGGTTTGCCGCATGGCAAATGGAAATCATCATGGAGGTGACATGACCCAATTTGTGTTTTTTAAAAACAAGCAAAACTAGAAAAAAAAAGGTAGGATGGTGGAGACACTCTAGCCCTGATAGCTATTAAAATGTCTTTGACAGGGTACAGAGGGCTCAGCGCTGGATGTGTGGCCCTGAGAACACAGATGAGGAGGTTCAAGAGAGAATCGTGAGGTAGCATTGATGGACTTTGCGATGGACTAAATATACTGATCAAGGAAGGAAAGCTGTGGTCATGGATTCTAGGTTGGGTGAATGGGAAGATGATTAGGCTGTGAATTGAGATCC